GTATGATATGACTGCATTCGTACTTTTACAAGATCGTTAGTACACGTATAAGCAAAGCCGAACGCCATCCTTGCGATAGACGGAGGAAAGTACTCCTCATTCCATCCCCTTTACAGCTTGCCTTCCTTCTTCTTCTTCCACCCTAAGGAATGGGGGAGATGACAATACTCGACAGCAATCAGTCTTTCTATGATCTATAACGTACATCTGATCACCTTAAAACCGAACATTCTCTGTAACCAAGTAAGAATACAAAAAGACGAGTGTTCCTACTATGTTATGTTGAGAAAGAAATGCATAAGAGAACATTAAAAAACACCAGAACAAATAATATATCCGGGAAAACTTCGAATAAATCTAAAAAGTAAGCATAGGAGCGCAAGCCCTAATGCCAACACTAACCTCCGTAACATTTCCATGACCCTACCGCCACTCTAGCCCTATCCCGCCCTATCCCCTTCAAGCTTCCCAGTCCCTCCACTACCGCCAGCCCCTCATCGCCCATTCCCCGCCCCCGCCCTCACCCACGTGGCTACGAGAGTCTCCTGACTCGGTGTATATTTCAAACGCCTGACATTTCAAACTGGAGAAGCTGGGCACCTTTAAGTGCAGGAGCTACTTCCAGGCAATGAACACCGTCCTCTTGACTCTACAACCGCGAAGGCACACGCGCTTCTCGCCGGTGTTTGGCATCCAGGGGGATAAGAGAAGCCTTGTGCACGGAGGGCTGCCCGGATGCTGCCTGAGAGAGCAGCGAGCTGTGCACTGAAAGAGTCCTGAAAGAGTCCTGTGAGCACTACCTATTCGTGAAGTGGCACGTCTTCGAAAACTGAAGTATAAGCAAGAGTTAGTGTCCGAATTATTTGAATGTTAAACGCTGCCAATTCGAAGGGCCCGGGTATTAGATGTTGCTTGAGAGAAAGGCGACTCCCTGGGGTCCGGAACTTATGCGTGTAAGGTGATGCCTGCATAAGAGGAGGCGCTTCAGTAACAGCTGGTTTCGATGTGTCAGCTGGCTCCCGAGTGACAGCTCGTCCTAGTCGACACCTGGCTCGTTTACAAGAACCCTGGCTCGTCAGGGACATGAAAAACGACGCTGAGAACCCGTCTCTCAACCTCGAATCCCTTGATAAAAACAAAATAATGATGGTGTTCATGGGGACGTTTGATTTTTTACATAATGGATCAGACTGCGCGCCAAGGAAATCATTTCATATGCAGAATGTATGCGGAAGCACCACAGACTAATATTTTTAACCGAAATCCATAACTTCACTCCAATTCATCTTTACCACCCTCCAATCTATCTTTACCACCCAACTGTTTGCGTATCACTGATCCCCCTCATACCATGTTTCTCAAGGTGTTTCTGATGAAGTACGCAACCCATCTCCAACTGTTTAAACGTCTCATGTCGGATAAACAAGCTTTCCAGAATTCTTGTCCTTTTGTGGGTAACATCTATTTGAAAACACGTCCTTTTCTTTCCGTTTTAAACGACATCTATAGTCGTTCCACCACAAACATTTTGGAACACGGACACGTAAAAATAAACAGTAATTCCCGTCTCCTATTCCCACTCTTGCTCAATGGATTCTGAAGTCTCCCCTCTCAAAAAATCTTCCCTTCTTTCTTTCTCTCCCTTTGATTTCTTCGCGTCATATCTCCTCAAGAGTTCATCCTCTTCGAATAGGACAAAAACTGAGTCAAGACAATTGTGTCTGGAAGAAATTGAGGAAGCGAGATCACGACCCCGAAGAACATAGCGGTAGGAGGGGAAGAGGGGGAGAGGGAAGAAAGAGAGGGGAGGGAGGAGGGGGAGGGAGGAGGGCGGAGAGGGAGAAAGGAGAAGAGATGAAGGAGAAAAGGAAGGAGGTGGGGAGGAGGAGGAGGAGAAGTGGTGGAGGAGGAGAAGTGGTGGACGAAGGGGTGCTGGAGGAGGAGCAAGTGGAGCAAGACGATAGGAGGGGAAGAGGTGGAGGGGGAGGAAAGAGAGGTGGAGGGAGGAGGACGAAGAGGGAGAAAGGGGAAGATATGAAGAAGAAAAGGATGGAGGCTGGGGAGGTGGAGGAGTCGGAGGAAGAGCAGCAGGGGGTAGAAGTGGAAGAAAAGCAGGAGTAGAAGTAGGAGGAGGAGGAGAGGGGGGAAGGAGGAGGAGGAGAAGGAGGTGGAGGAGGAGGTGGACGACGACGATAACGACGACAACGAAGACGAAGAAACGGAGAGCATCAGCCCTGGTGAAGGGATGAGATAGGGGAGAGGGTTTGCAATAGTGGAGACGCTGAGCTGGACGCGAGGGGAGCTGGACGAGAAGGGATAGACGGGCACAAGCCAGTAGAGATTGATGGAGCGAGGGAAAACTGAGGGCGCAGAAAGGTTGAAGTTGATAAACTACTCCGAAACAATTTATCCCTTGTCTTTTAAGGTAGACCTTAGACGATGCTATAGCAAAATCATATCCGTGAATCCCTCTGGAAGCAGCTGATTGTCCCGGAATGAAGAGAAACAGACACACGCTAACGGAAACTTCACCCGCAGAAAGAGGGCAAAGAGAAATGCCTTACGAGGAGACGACCATCGGTGGTGAGTCGTACCCGAGCAAAGCCTGGAATCCAAATGATGAGGGAGCCCGGGGTGGGAGGAGTTCAAGATGATGAAGACTGCGGTGGAGATGATGATTCCTACACACAACAAAACAAGGTCGTGATGCAAGCGTGGAATCATGCAATCGAATATCCGATAAAATCACAGGGAACATATAGGCAGAACGCGTGTATTTGAATTGAACACAAAAACAACAAATATAATAAACAAATGAATAGTTTGATAAAAATCACAGGGGGCAATGGATCGATACGAAGTGCAATGCTTCAACAATTACCAAGGTAACACGTCATGGAAACGAGTAAACAAACCAAGAGTAGGTAAAAAGGGAGAAAGAGGAATAGAAAGAAAGGAAAAAAAGAGAAGATAGATAGATAGATAGAGAGAGAGAGAGAGAGAGAGAGAGGGAGGGAGGGAGGAGGGAGGGAGAGAGGAAGGAGGGAGGGAGGGAGGGAGGGAGGGAGGGAGGGAGGGAGAGGAGAGAGAGAGAGAGAGAGAGAGAGAGAGAGAGAGAGAGAGAGAGAGAGAGAGAGAGAGAGAGAGAGAGAGAGAGAGAGAGAGAGAGAGAGAGAGAGGGAGGGGGAGAGGGAGGGGGGGAAGGAGGGAAAGAGGGAAGGAGGGGAGGAAGGAAGAAGGATGAGATGGAGGACGGAGAGAGAGGAGGAGAGGAGAGAGAGAGAGAGAGAGGAGAGAGAGAGGAGAGAGAGAGAGAGAGAGAGAGAGAGAGAGAGAGAGAGAGAGAGAGAAGAGAGAGAGAGAGAGAAGAGATGGAGAGGAGAGAGAGAGAGAGAGAGAGAGAGAGAGAGAGAGAGAGAGAGAGAGAGAGATCGAACGTGAGAGAGAGTCGGAACAGGAGTGGGAACGAGAAGGAGAACAGTGTTTCTGCAGGAATATATAATCGTTATAATAGTAAATACAATGGAATAAAAATGGAATACACCTAGTAATGAAAGAAAGATGGCAGGAGTAGGCACGAACCGTCTCGGGGGGGAAAGTAGGGCGGGGCAGTAAATGGTCCAGAGAAGAAGGCCAATAAATGACGGGGGAAGGGGACAGCGCGAATATCCCTTTATTACCAGGGCCAAACGCTTGGATAAGAAGGGTCGATAACACACCAGACACAAGGGAATAAGGGGAAAAACAGTAGAGGGAAATAAAATGGAAAATAAAAAAGGGGGTAGAAGGAAGAGGAGGGGGAGGAGTAGGAGGAAGGATGATTACCAAAGATTGAAAGGAATTAAAAGAAAAGTACAAGGCAAACACAAATACAAAAATAACCGATAATAAATTGAATAACGCTACAAAAAAAAGAACAAAAATAAAAAAATGTACAGAATGTATAGAGGGATAGTGGACATGATGAGTGGATTGCCGTAAATCCTTCGCTCGGAGGGAAGGCGCTAGCAGAGACCAATAGACACCGTCTCGATAGGGAATACTAAACACAGCAGGGAGGGGCGGCCACACACACGCTTTCCTGCTGACGCTGCTCCTCTGCGCCTGCTCTTTCCCTTTGTCCCTTTCTAAATTGTTTCCCTTCGATGCTACGACTCTTGGTGTCGCCGTTGCTAATACTACTTCTCTTACATTAATTCAGCGTCACTTACATTCTGATTATCAATACCTGTGTGTGCTACTAAGTTTCAGTGACCTTCAAAACATAAGAAAAATATTTTTCGCTGGGTCTTTTCTTAATCGCCAACCTGCCTAAGTAATTCGCCGATAAGAAAAAAATATCGATGAAAAGATTAAGAAAAAATAGAAAAAAATATAGAGGATCGGGCCATAACCGCTGACCGCAGGGAGCATTTGCTGCAAAAATTGGAAGACATCCCATGCCCATACCGGATAAGAGCAAAGATATTGCCCAGGAAACCTTCCAAGATTGGGATATCATGCAGGGGTTTCTGGGCCGTGCAAACACCTCCGTTCACTCCACGGAGGGGTCATCTAGCAACAGAGGGATGGATGGCCAACAAGGTGAGGAATAAAGGGAATAGGAGAGAGGAGAAACACGTAGAGCTGAAGAAAAGATACAAAAATCACAATCATTACCGAAGGCTATTTTAGATTATGGGGCTATTTTAGATTATACCTTAGACTTCGAACTGAATGAACTGATATGGTACTGAAGNCAGTAATTGAGATCAGAATGATTTAGAAAGAGAGATGACCCGCCCGAGTATTGGCTCACATGGACGCGAGATCAGTAAAGAAGGATTAACATATTGTAATAAAGACGAATCAATTAAATCACTACTACAACAACAATAACAATAACAACAATAACAATAATAGCAGCAGTAGCAATAACAATAAAAAAAAAAATCATATATCTACGCAAAATGTGACAAGAGATATCTGACATCAAAGATCGATCAGTTTAACAGATCATGCTAATCATCAACTTCCACACAATAAGAATACCGGAAGATTGTGGTCCCTTGCGTACTCCTCTGACTTCCTGATGACAGATGGTTCCCTGGATAGTAGCGCGTACCCTCTGGGAAGATCACCAACCAAGTCTGTCGAAAATATAGGCAGGAGCATTAGCGTTAAGAAAAAGACACAGACACACACACAAAATACACACACACACAAAACACACACACACACACACACACACACACACACACACACACACACACACACACACACACACACACACACACACACACACACAAAAAAAAAAAAAAAAAAAAAAAAAAACTTTCCAAATTCACAGTTCATTAAACGCTCATTTCAAACAACCTCACATGCAATTCGTGACAATAAACATGAATATAATAAGGAAGAGTCAAGTTCCAATACAAACAGCGCACAATACTAACAGGAATCTTCGGTGTTTGTAGTCCAGGGCTTCAACCATTTTTCCCTGATTGAATTTCCCACGTCTCACATAAATACAACCGTGTGTGTAGAAGTAGTGCCCGTAGAGTGGGATCAGTTGTAGCGTGTTTTTCATCACATAGCGCAGATGTCCTAAGGATCCACCTCGGACAGAGACCATGTCAGCAACAAGCCAGTCAACTAAAAGAGAAAAAGTTTCCTTTTTAGTAAAGTCCTTATCAGATCCACAATTTACAAAAATAAAGGCAGTGCATTAATGAAATCTATTAATGGGGTTAAGTAATAAGAAAAAAAGTGTGCTCATAAAACAGAATATTAACAATCTATATCATATACTTTGAATTTAGTGGTATTTGTACTATATAAAAAAAAATCTAATAACTTATCATATAAATGAAGATCCAGATAACTAGCTGCTTGCAAAAGGTCCAAAATCTGGGCATTTTGCTTACATGAGTGGCAACTGTCTAGTGTGTATGGTTTATACGTCCAGCCCATTCGACTTGTGGGGTACCATGACTTTCCCTCCCATTTGCAACATTATCATGTCTTTTCTGTAGAAGCATTACCATTTTTTGTTTTCATTTTTTAGTCTCTACTTGTCATCTGATATGCTGTATCATGATGTTAATAGACATGGAAATAGTATCCTTCCTGGAGTTAACTCTCTTCCAGTAATGGTTCACAGATGGTATATTCCACACTCGTTTACTGAGGGAAATAATGCAAAAGCCCCTTCCTAAACGCCCACTGAGTCTAATCACCCTCTATAAGTTCTGAGTACTTGTGGTGAGTCATTCCATCACCTGAATCTCATCACCTGAATCTCATCACCCTGGCCCTCAGCCAAATTATTTCATGACAGTAGTCACACTACCCAGCCCTCTACCAATATCCTTCATGATGGGATGGCCACATCACCTGGATCCAAGGGGTTATAATTCATATAATTCAGTTATAATTTCATTATGATTTTTGTCTTTACCTGTTGATTGATGGTTGGCAAGATATAAGACACTTTCTCTCTTTTTCAGAGCTTCTACAGCATCACCATACAACACCACCTGCAATGGATAATCTTTTTATAATAACCAGAATTTTTCATCATATGCCATTAATATACAATCAAAATGAAGCAACATCAAACCAAAACCCAAACTCATTCTGGGATACTACCTCTAAATTTGTACATGTCTCAAAGAAAAAGAGAACTAGCCGCTGATAGAGAGAATAAAGTTTGTCGTCACCCCACTGGTATATCCAGGAAGGGAGGACTAGTGAAGCACCTCGCCACACAAGCCATATTGCAAGATATTCTGGGGCCACCCCAATCATCATTGCCGAACCAAACGCATATCTGGAAGGCAAAAAGTGTTTAATAATCATCCCCTTCAGTTATTTTCTTTCCACATTATAAAATTCTTAAAATCTGGAAAAGTATTGATAGTTTCCTTGGGATGTCTAGTGGTCTTAATCAGTGCTACTTGCCGACAGTGAGAATATCAGTACCTGACCCAATAGGTGGGGAGGGTATGAAGTATCCCAAGGAAATTGTAAAGTTAAATTATGTGATGTTCTTAGTTTTGTATATGCCGATTAGCACATTTTTAGAGGCTGCATCCCCTAAAAACTTCTTGTGGAGTTGTTGCCATCCCCTAATATAAATTCTATACCACATCTGTATTACAAGATGGGTCCTGGACATGTTTGCATGAGACATCTGTTTGAGTAATACCACAACTCAGCTATGGCAGTAACTCCACCACTTCTGAAGACATTGGGCTCTGTGAGGGAATCATCTTTTCCAACTCACACAGTTGTGAGTCGTTATGGAACTTATGGGAGTATTCAGCTATTTGTATTCTGCTCGTTTACTGGTTCCACCAACTCACATTGCAAGATATAGTTAATGGACATGGCTAGGAGTCCAGTGATGCCAAATTTAATAGGTTTTATGGTATGGACCTGTTCTTAAAATACACTATCTTTTCAAGGTTATTTGAAAGGCATTGCACATTGTTATACAACCTAACTTTAAAATCATGATCTTAATTTTACAGAATTGTATCATTATTCTCTAATGATAGACAACAATAAAATTCAGTGTCTTAAACAAAATAATTCATAAAACTATACCTACATAGATATGCACTGGTTATATAACCATGCATCAATCATATAAAAAAAGAAAAGTAATTACAGGTGTAGAATGAAAATACAATGCAGTTTGACACAGCCATAGAGCATAAGGTAAATTTTGCCTGTAATGGACATAATTCTTAGAGAGGCCAAAAGTTATAGTCGTTGGCACAAGAAATAATCTACAGACATGAGCAGTAATGCCTCAAAAAAAAAATAAAAAGATTGTGGAAGGCACTGCTCACACAACGTTGACTCAGTGCTCCTGAGTTTCACCTCTGTCTTGCCATGCATACAAAGGTAAAGATATGTTTGCTGAAGGCTGTTGGGTGCAGAGCCACCCATCAACCCTCCCTTCAGGTAATGCCCAAAGGGCATATCCAGTCACAGCAAATTTAGAGTGCTGCATAGAGTTTGTGACCTGGAGACTTTGTCTCTTGCAAGTGCATCCGATTGTAAAACATTTCAAGCACAGCCTATGGCTTTTCCCCAGTGATAAAGAAAGATATTTGAATATCCTCTAATAAAAACATCCATTCTTGACATGTAATATACCACAGCATGAATACCTCCAACGAGGCTTGTATCCATGATGACAAAACCTTATTCTCTCTGTACTCTTTGTGATTACAAGATCAAATAATAGCACACAAATGATAACGTGCGCTAATCAGTTTTAATCGACTAACTCAAATAGGAATATATACAAAATTGAAGAGTAGCATGCACAACACTCCAAAATTTAGATTGATACAATTTCTTGAATAATTTTAATTCTTGAGGCGCAAAAATGGGCTCAACACAACATGACGTGTTTTCCGATGGTAGGATTTGCTTAGGTGAGAAGAACCAGAGGAGCTGTAGAACCAATAGTGTGTGGATGAAGTGGACTAACGTTGTTGTCAACAGCTCAGGACCACCTGATAGGTAAGAGAGAATCACAGAACGACGGGTGACTTTGGTGTGAGGACCACCTTTGATGGCACGAAAGAGAAAGAGCTTGTATTCTTGGACAGAAGTTGACCATCCACAATATAGTGAGTTGCGTCTACCCAGTCGTTGTGAGTGTGTGCTGTTGGGAACCTATTGTGTCTTTACCTGTTTGAATTTACATGGGACGCTGCGAGACCTTAATTGAGTTCCTTCTAGGTCATGTTTCTCCCAACCCAACTACATTCGTAAGGTCTTCAAATGGGCGATACTTTTAGTGGATTTACAACACAACTTAGCCTACAAGAGAGGGATATGTTGATGGATTGCTACCCAGATTGCTTCTGGTATGGTTTACTTGTCAGACCGGAAGTTTGTGCACCGAGATCTTGCAACAAGAAATTGCCTTATTGGTGAAGACATGACAGTTAACGATAGCAGATTTTGGATCTATCTCAAGATTAATTGCAGTGTGAACTTACGCTTATAGGGCGAGAATACTAGTCGATGCCATCCCCATTCGCCTGGGGATGCCACATGAGAGAGGCCTTAGTTTCTATATAATATTGGGCCACAATACACGTAGTTTTAGAGACGTCATGGTGTCTGGGCCTTTGTGCGCGTGGGTGACTGTTATGGGCAAAATTATTTTCCTCTTTGACATTGTACACATATACTGATGGAATTGACACTCAATCGGAAAGAGGTTGTTGTTTTTCTATACTTAGGAAGCGAGTGGGCGCCGGTAATCTCCTACCTCAACTGATTCCCCACCACATGCCCCTGCACCGAGGCTTTTACTCCTTGTTTTCTGGTGTTTGCGCTGAGGTTTTCGAAGACCAGGGCGCTCTGATAGAATCAGATCGAGCGCCTGTAGACCTGGTTTGTCTCCAATCAGCTCATCAAGAAAATGGTATGAAGAATCCTGGCGGTCAGGCTTCACCAGTCGAATGTTGCCCATGACCCTCCCCTCATGATAGCTGCATCCATGTCATGGCTCAGCCCCGCCACCCCACGACCATGCCTCATGTGCAGCGCCAGAGCAAGGTGGCGGTGTGCAGTCTCTCATAAACAGTAACTTTTATTATATAGCATGCCAACCTGTAGTCATGAAATCCAACCAGTGGAACATTTCTTTCTAAGCTATGACACTTAACAGGCCTTAGCACTAGCTGAGCTTTGGTGAAAGGCAAACCCTAGTTTGCTTCAGTATCCTCACGTTCTAGTCCAAGAATTTCTTTTTTGCTGAAAATGCCAATGAAGTTGGTTTAGCATTGGTTTGCTTTGGCTATGAGCACAAAATTTGCACGTAAATTACAAACATTTATTTAAAGGTATGCATGGGAAAACAACTATTTGTGTTCGGGGATTGATTAAGGTCTTGGCAAATAAATTTACGCAAAGAGTAATCATTAAAGCAGCCAGTTACAGTTAACTAATAAATACATCCGAGTTACAGGAAATGTTATCATATTTATAAACTCGAGAATATATGAAAGACAGTGTCTTTAGGTCAAGAATTATTATTTTCCCACAAGTAATGAAAATAAGTATAGAGACTGCCAAAAGGAAAACCAACACGGGCCAGATATCTGCTAACAAAATAAGATGCTCTTACAACTGGTTATGCTTTTCTATACTGTAGCAAAAATCTCAAAATGTTGTAAATTACTACAAAGCAACATACGTGTGGTATAATGTCTCAAATGATCCTCAGCAGAATTTTAATGTGAGTGCATTAGCAAGCCTGAACTGGTGTGGGCACGTCGTTTGCACAATAATCTGTGACAAAATATGTTTAACAGTGGCAATCATAATTATCATTGTAAACTGTAGCTCTCAGAAATTCTTATAGGTTTTTTAGCCATATTGTTGTATGCAGCAAATTTAGCCTGCAACTGTATATGGACGATTAGCACTCAAATGAAACATTCTAATTCATTTGACAAAAATATAATGTTTATCTGATAATTGTGAGTTAATGGAACTAGATAAAGTAATTATATGAAAAAGAAAATCAATTTTTATGAAAACTATCCTGGTCTTCAGCTGTAACTATTTAAATAGTGTAAGGACTATTTGCTATATTGCTAGTGCAAAACAATAATTTAAAAAATTTTTGCTTTATTTTTATATAATCATTTTTTACATTTGTTCGCAATTTTACATGTATATTATATTTACTTGGCCAGAGAATTATACTTGCCATGTTTCTTAGATTCCCTAAGTGCTGGTCCCATGCTACTTGTTTAATGGCGCTGAACCCATCTCTTCTATTTTTATCAGGTTTCTTTCTCGTGATCTGTGAAATAGGTGAAAGGTAGGACCTTCCTTTGCCCATCATAATGTGGTCTACGCGACAACCACGGCTTTCTATAGACAACTCCTTCAGCTCATTTTCATCGCAAATAGTAACTTTAAATTATTGGATAAACAAGAGAGAGGAATTCCGTATAGCATCACTGTGCTATTTTTTATCTTTATATATTCAAACTTAGGTTGTTTTCACCAAGTGTGCTAGGTGTGTTCTCAAATAGGTCTATAACTAACAATTAAAATGCTGAAACATGATTAATTATACACTACTTCCTTTGGAGTCTAGTTCCATGACCTTTTTATAATCTTATATCATCACCTTTTCTCTTTTTCGCACTGGCCATGGGTCCCTTAGAGATCATTTCCCCGTGATGAACTTATTCCCTATCTTTGATACTCGCATAGGTCTCTGCTTCTCGCTCATGCTCTTTCTGTGATCATGAAATACACCATCAAACTAGCTCAGGATATAAATAACCAAGGCATTACATTAAGTTTTCCTTTGTCGAAACAGTCGTGGAAAAAAAAAATCAATATTAAACAAGAGGACACAACCAACACGACCATAAATAACTTTACAACAAAACTCCTCCATATTTCATCAATAACATGCACCACGCATCTACCATCAGAGAGTCAGGAAAAGAACACAGATTATATTGTTACAACAAACATCACTCTATTAATGCCTTGAATCTTTATTCCTCGTCACTTGAACACACTCCCTGTTACACCAACATTTAGACGACAAAAATTATGATACTTGCATAATATCATACATTTACAGTCACCAGGAAATACTAAATTCACAAGTCTCACTTTCTCAATCAGCCTAGAAGTTTTCACATGATGTCGAAACTAAAATTTTGCTTGCCTTCAATAAATTCTCTTATATAAGATGACAACCATGGGAAAAAAAAAACACCTTAACAGACTGCATTAAATCCCTATTTTTAAAAAGCTTCAGAAGTGTTCTAGTGGGAGCCAGAAATAGCTTAGGAGAAGGAAGCTAAATT